TGAATATATCTCCTTCTTCGGCCATCCCTTCAGGCAGAACCTGGAAGGACTGGAAGGATGTATAGTAGGAGTCACTAGAGGAGATGGGCTGATGTTGAGGAATGATTCCCTGTAAGATAATTTTGCAGTATACTGGGAAAAGGCCATTTGATGATGCTCTAACTCACCACAGATGGCAGTTTGTGCCATTTGCGTTGTATGTCAAGGGAATGCAATCAGGTACCCTGCAAGTGCCTCTCCAGATGAGAACTGAAGTGTGTTTCTCTGCTTCCTGCATTAGCCTCTGAGCCATGAGAGTTCAGGCAGCACACAGTGAGTATAAAAATAATCTAAAGAAAGGCACTGCTGCAGCCAATGTTTTTAAGAGTTCACTCACTCTGAGTGATTTCATATTTGGACTTCTGTGCTAGATGTTTTAATATCACAGACTGAAGTACAAGGCTAAGAAAGCCAGTGACCTAAATTCCTCCTAAGTCTGTGACTCAGTCTGTCCCATTGACGACACACCTCTGAAGACCCAGAGCCAGACAGGGAAATGCTAGGCAGAAGAACTTATGCAGACTTATGTCTGATTCTATGTCAGAGCACTAAAGAATTATTAGTTCTTAACCTTTGAAAAGAAATAGTTGTCCCTGCAGCATTTTTAGTGAAGGGAGGCTTTCTCTCATGCATTTCTTTCAGCCACACAATGCAGCTTCATGCTGAATTGTGATTTTTTTTATGACTGCCATGGATTTAAGAGTGGTGCTTAAAAATCTGAATAGCTAAGTAATGTTCTCCTTCTAATAGCTGCAATGGAAAACGCTTGGTACTTGTCTAGGTTGAGCATTTATATGAACTCTGAATATTATCAGCAATATGATGCTTTCATAAGTTCCCACCTTTCATGGCTATCCATTGGGCTAGGACCACACATAAATACACGACCTGTTACAAGACCTCAGAGGATGCTGGTAATCTCTCATGATGTTCTCAGTCTTCTTCTTGTGATGCTATGAACATACCCCTCATTTCTCTGCCATTTCATGTTTTTGGTTACTGCTTTCTCACTGAAACTGCCTCACCTTATCAAACACTCCTTAGTCATAACCTCACAAAGATAAAATTTAGTCTGTTTCTTTCTTCTCTTGATATCATATAATGAAGAACATCCAAGAGAGTTCAGGATGACAGAGATGAGGTCAGGGATTTCCAGAGCTTCAGTACTCTAGAAATATCCTTCATAGATTAAAGATAAACACGCATACACCAAAAATATAAATAAATAAATAAATGGATGAATGAATGAAATTATTCGACACGGCTTTCAGAACATGAAAAATGAAAGTTGTTGCAAGTGAACTTGAAATCACATGAATCATCCCAGGCAGTGAGAAGGCTGGAGCTAAGTAAACACAACTTTGTTTGTTCTGCCAGTGCAGGAGTCCATGGTGTGTGTAAGAGCCACATTCAAGGCAAGTAGTGGAGACAGCGGAGTGTTTTCCTTCCTGAGCTCCTGGAACAATTCTTTGGAGGCCTTAAATGACTGGTACGAAGTGAACGCTCTGATCAATGGTATTGCTGAGCTGTTTGGGCGTATTTATCTGACCCTCTGCCAAGTTTTATCCTTCATCATAGCTAAGACATAGCTGTGTAGTGAACCATGACCACATCCATACAACCACAACTACCATTTGGACTGAATTTATGGTCTTTGAAACTGTGAACAGGCCCTCCTACTGCTTAAGCTATGGAGCAACTGAGGGCAAATATATGTAGAGAAGTTAGACTTAAACACTTAGGCTGTAAATGTCCTCTGTTCCAGAATATGTAAATTCATGAGTGTGTTGCTTCACCCATGCTGACTGCAATTCAGAAAAGGCTGAAATAATGCCAGTTTGGAGTACATGGATCATGTGTTCACTCTTTGGGATAACAACCTAAGAAGAACCAGTTCGGTTAAGACATTCATGCAGAAGTCCAGTGAAAGTTGGTGATGTTTAAGCACCGATGTGAAATCAGGCAAATGCTTTGCTGAAATAGAATTTTTCTGCTGAACAAGATCGGCACACAAATCCCAATAAAGATAGGTGAGGAGATCTCTTTGGACCACAGCTAGTAGTGCAGAGATGCAGGAACTTTCTCTACAAATCTTGTTGAGGATGAATAAGCATGATTGAGCTGGTATACCCACAGGGCCAGCATATCTCCTGGTTTTGACCCCAGTTTGAGTACAAAAAGAACTAACTTACATTGACTTTTTACACTGCTTCTGTCACTCTCATAACCTCTGTTCCTAGTATCCACAGGAAGCAAGTACAAACTTAAAGTCTCTTGTTTTAAGCTACACATGTTTACAACTTCAGATCCAGCAAGACACAGCTTGACCTCAGGTTAACTTTAAATGGAGTCTCCCACCACAGAAGCATCTTTTTTTGTTATTCCTTCAGTGCCCAGAAAGGAAGCAAACTCAGTGAACTTCTAATACTTTGTCTTTTTCTGATGATACCCACTGCAAAAACAAATCAATGCAATACTTATCATCTGTGCCTATTATATGACCTGCAGACAGAAAATACAAGCGGAGAATACTGAGGGCTGCAAAAGAGCAACAGCTCTCCCACAGTACTGCTTTCTTCTCCATTCCTTTTGTAGTGATGTTTGTTGGATGGAGAAAATCCAGAAATATTCATATTCGAGCAGGGACTCGGTGCTGAGTTCTGTATAACCTAAATACCTTGAACATACAATGCACGTTGCCTGATCTTCTCTTCAGGTGCAGAAAACATGACCTGATAAACCTGGACTCATTTTGGTTTTGACAGGAGAATATGTTAGTTAGCATTTGCTCATTACAGAGACAGGTCATGCAAGCAGGCTGTGATTTCAAACAGCTTCAATATATTTGTAGAACGATCCCATTGACCCAAATCCTGTGTTTAGAAGTGCAAAGTTTACATCAGTCAGAATGGACTGGGCACAATGCATGGTTGTTTCTCTATCCAAATGTTTGTTACAGATCTGTAAACTGTGATGAAGCAAATTCAGTCCAGGCAAATGACTGTGTTCAGTATCCTTCAACAGCAAACAGTGAAGAAAGCGTAGAGGAAACAAGGCTAGAGCTGTGTTTCCCATGGCTGTATCCTATCAGTTTGGAGAGGTCAGTTGCTTGGGACTTTCTAAGCCACTGGATTTGTGTTCCAGGAGTTTCTCTAATCCCTTTTAATCCCGTTTCTGAATTTGCTTTCCATAGTATTCAGTTACATATCTGAAATACTGCAAACTTTCTTCCTGTCTTTTCTGGGGAGGTCTCTCCGCTCAGAGCCCATTGGCTGCTTTTTGCCTTCACTCTTCAAAGCACTCTTGCTGAGATCTTACCCTTTGGCCCTGGCTCTTGGAATCCATCTATTTTTGTAAACAGAAAGCCATTTATTCCATTATTCTAAGGTTGCAGTCTCACAAAAATTTGAAGTGCACACAGCTGCCAAAAGGAGTGGCCTTCTCTCCAGTTCTTGTGCCATCTGTAGGACAATACTGTGAGCCAGACAGGGAAATTACTCTGGATGAAAACTAGCCGACTACTTTGGTCCATCTCACAGCACAGCATTGCACAGAGTGCTGGAGGTACAAGAGAGATGAGAGCACCTGGTTAAGAAACAAAGAGAATCTGGGATCATTTTTTCTTTAGTAAGAAACACACCCTTGCATCAGAAGACCGCATCCTGAAACTGTCTCCCTGCCTCCGATACCTTTTTTCCATCATGACTTTTTTAGTAAATCCAAAAGGACATGGACTCCCAAGCTTTTCCCTCCTGGAAGCCATGAAGCCACCAGCTGTTTGCAGCCTGAAGGTCAGTGTTGTCTAAACAAGATAGTTTCAGTCAGCAAATGGAAAACAGCCTTGTACCAAAAGTTACTGTGGGAAGCTGCTGCTGCTGCATGTGCAGCCCGAGCACTCTGGCTTGCTGCTCCATCCCCCACCAACATCCCATCTCTTATTTTTCTTCCAGTTCTAAGAGCTGGCTCGTGCCTTTACACTCAGATAGCCATAGCAAGTTGCAAACCATGCCTGCCTCAGCTGTCAGTCATGGATGAAATCAGGGTGTGATTCACTGCTAAGCCAAAATTGTGTTTTCCTTCCTTTGTATGGAAGGGCACCTTGCCACCATTTTTATTTTTATTTAGACAATGGCTTCTCTCCTAGCACCTCGGTGGGAATCATCAGAAGATGCTGCCTCACACAAACAAAGAATATGCCCAATCCGTTTTTCCAGGAACCACCAGTAAACAGCCTCTGGGTGGAGAAGCAGCTCAGCTCCCTGCAGAGCTCTGCACGCACTGGCTGTGTCTATGGCAGCGAGTTAAATGTGCATCGACCATGCACAGAGGCCAACTGGCAGAAAGTGCTTAGTGTGAGTATTCTTAAGTTCTGTTACTCTCCCCAAAAAGGAATTTCTGCTTCCAAACTGCCTTTGGGAAAAAGTGCCCAGCCTATGCACTGCTGGGAGGATGCTATGGGCTAAGAACTGTTCCCAACATACCTTGGCATGTATGTGTACAGGCAACTTACCCCAACTGGAGGACAGACAGCCTACTTGCAAGACTGCTGTCACTGTGTTGCAGTTCCTTTCAGGGTCCTGGGACATTTTAGTTGAAAGCGGCTAAGAGCTAGAAAGTATCTCTCTTTTTCTGTTTGCCAATCTGGTTGTAATCACAAGGAGCAAAATACTGAGAGAGTGGAAAGCAATTCAGAGCCCTTCCTGATCACCAGTAATAGATAGGGGTTTGCTATGTCACTGGTGGGGCAAATTAGGGTCCAAATGTAGAAGACTACAGTACTGGCCAAAGTCCCTCTACAGGTTATATTGAGTCATGGTTAAGGACCCAGGAGAATGGCTGTTAGGGCAGACTGAATAAAGCCTTTGAGCACTGTTTGCTTCAGTATGCAAAACTATATCACAGGAAATATTTACAAGGGTATAAGTGGTATATTGGGCATCTGAATAACCCCTCATTTTTCTCAGGTGCTTCTGGAAAAAAAAATATTTATACTCATAGCTCAATCCTTCATTTAATTATGCACATCATCAGCCTGGATACATGTATCTGTTAGGCACTTATGCATAAACCTTAAAGGAGAAGACACTGACCTACTGGAATTAGAGCATTTCAGCCCCTTTTCTTCAGGTAAAGTACAGAAGAACTATCTTGTACTCCAGGAGTAAATGAAATGGAATTGATTTACCTAAGGACAAAAGTCTTCTCTATGTGTGTGCTGTGTCTTTATCTCACATTGCTTTAAGGGGCTGTCACACACGCACCAGGAATAGTTCGATAACAGGCACCTTCATGCACCATTTTGAGAGAGATAGTATGGCATCCTAGCCAGAGAGTACAGATAAGCTGGGAAACAATCCTTCCATCCAATCTTAGCCATATAAACATTTACCCTGCCTTGTTAGCTGGTCTCTTTCTAAAACAGTGGGAAAAGAAAACATTTGCTTCAGTAGTTTTATCCCACCTGCCTTAACCCTCACTCTTAAAATAACATGAATCTCCTTCCTGATCTTTTCCTCTTTTCTACCAGGGGAACCTAAATGTTTCATTTAGATTAAATGATTAAAGAAGGATTAGACTCTCTTAAGCTCAAAAATCTAAAAGAAAATTTGTCCAGTCTTAAGAGAGCTATCTAAGACAAATCAAGTTAATCCACTTCTGAAGATGCCTATTTCCCTTCTTTCATTATGAAGGAAACCAAGGTTATGAACTTTAAATTAAATATGTAAAGCTTGGATATCCAACTTAGGTAAACAGATCTTTGCATGCACGCACTGTAGTCAGCATGATTATTCACAGTAGTGCCCTGATTGTTTCATGGGATGCCCTCAAACCACTGAAATAAATACAAATACTAGGAACTGCGAGCATTGTAGCTTTTGGTGTTGGGGATTTGGTTGGCTTTGAGCCAAATTTTTACAAGTTTGGTGCAGCAGGACTGCGCAACCTCAGCACAAGTGCTGATAGACAATTGACGTCAAGGTGTGAGACACTACTTGATATACAGCCACATAAAAGAAGTGAAAAGCCAGACAAAAATATAATTCTGACCACAAATAGATCAAGGATTTAAAGTGAAAAATACTGATACAACAAGGTACAAAAAGCAGCTAAGGGTAACCCTCCCACACGTGAGCAGTGTCTACCTATCTTTCTCAACCACCTCTTTTTGGCCAAGACTTCTCCTGGAAATATATCCTATGTCCCTCCAAACTGTTCAACCTTTGTTCTCTTCTTCTTTAACTGATGCTATAAAACCATTATATCCTTTAAGGAATTTCCTATTTTCCCCCCAATCTTCCCCATGAAATACATGTAACTTAGAAAATTTCTAGTTGTGTGAGTCTATAAGTGGTACAGTACCTAGCAAGGCCTCCTGGGCTGCAACAGTTCCCTGTCTTGTAGATAACCACTGCACGGACAGCCTAGGAAAATTCAGGTCTCTGTTGCTGTCTGTGTACAAGCACAGCACAATCAGTAGTGATGCAATTTCTTTCCCAGCTTTCGTGGCATACTTGAACTTGTGAAGGAAAAAACCTTCCTTCCTGTGTGTGAGAAGTCATTTCAGACTAAATCTGCTTAGTCTAAGATGCCTCTTCCATTGAAAAGAACAGCTTTTATCCCCTGAGAATAGAACTAGAACAGTAAGAAATGACTTTTAGCTCTGGGCAGCTGTAGGGATTAAGGGTTATCTTTTCATGGGATCACTTTCAGCATGCAGTCTTACTAAAGGAGACTCATTTCCTTTCTTTCTTTGACTTGGAATAGCCTTGCTCTTATTCTGCAATGCCATAGGTTGGTCAGGATTTGTTGGTAGAGCACAGCCCAGGGAAACCAGAGTAGGAGATGTTCTGCAGGGTTGCTTCAGGAACATAAGTGAAAGAAATTACACTGTAGAAGTAGTGGATTTAATAGAGTAGTGAAATGTGATCTGTCCCTCATCTTCAGCTATTTTCCTTGTAGTTCATGAGATTTCAGAAATTATTTTTCTGAGTAAATATATATGTATTTTTTATATATATATATTTTATCATGGTGACTACACTTGAGCTAATCACTGTTCATATACCTTTCTTGGAATCATAGAATCACAGAATCATAAAATGGTATGGGATGGAAGGGACCTACTTTAAAGATTATCTAGTTCTATCCCATCTGCTATGGGCATGGACACCTCCCCAGATTGGGTTGCTCAAAGCCCCATCAGACCTGCCTTTCAAATGAATTTTGTAGCCATTGCTTAGCATCAGTGCCAAAAGAAAGGTCTCCTTATGAAGCAAATCACCTGATCTGTCATAAATACCTGTATTAGGATAGGATGAATCATTCTGCACTGACTTTTAGGGAAGTTTCTGCAGCCAGATCAGGGTGCACAGCTACTTGGACAGCTCTGGCTATGAACCTCTTGCCCTACTTACTTTCCCAGCCCTACCAACCCACAATCAGGAAAGATGAATGGATATAAAAATAGCAGCATGGAAAGCTCCTGGGATGACCGTGGGCAGGGATGGTTTGTTTTGTCAGGGGTGATTAAAGCTATGAATATATTATCTTTGAGTGCACATGAATGAATGCCCTATTGTTTCCATACCAAGGGGCATGGTTTGAATCTCAGGGTGCAGTGACCCAGCCAAATAACTGATTAGCCACCCCAGAGCAAAATAGTATGCAAACTGAGTGCACAACCAGGAGACAAGGACACAAGAACAAAAAAAAAAAAAAAAAAAAAAGGCGTGCTAACACATCATGCTTAGCCCAGCAAAGTGAACACTGAGTGGGAATACAAATACAGGACAGAACTCCCACCAGGAAAGAAGTTATTCATTTATGCTGAAAGTCATTATTGGCACAGGAAGAGAGGTTAAAGATTGACCCAGCATAAACTTAGGTTGGAAGTCAGAAGGCAATTTTGAGTGAGTGGTGCAGTTTTGTTCCAGTCTAGGTAATATTGAGTCACAAAGTAACCAATGAATAACTTCCTACATCTAAAGCAGGGGTTTGAGAGCATTCGGCTGACATCTGGGAGAGATATAGCCCCTAGCTCTTTGTTTGGATAAGACTTATGGAGATCTATACATCAGAAATAACAGCCACATTATCTGAATTTGGTTAAGTAATTCTTGTATTTAATCATCAGGCGAAATAAATTTTGGTCAGTTTCTGCCAGCTGCTTCACATCTCATTTTACTAACATAATGGAGAGTTATTTATCTGACTTTAAGTACATTCTTGATCCCTGCAGAGGAGGGTGCAGAAGAGTCCGGCCTCCAGCTCAGCAGACCCAGATGTAAATCCTTGTCATGTCTCTGTATCTCTTTGTGCCCCTGCATTCAGTCTTATCTACCTATGCAGACACAGTCAAAAGAAAGACACAGCTCAGAATTTTCTGAGATATTTGAAGCTTTCAAGATGTCATTGAAATAACAAGACTATCTCCTCTGTTCTAGTGGAGCTGGACATGACTTTGAGAATGTCTTCTCTGTTCCCATTTTGACCACATTTTTACTGATAGAATTGAAAAAGACAGCACATAAATCCATGTGTCTACCCACCTATGCTATCTGCCCATCAGCCTGTAACAGAGGACTCTTGAGAACACCAATTTGTAATACTAGTGCAGTCTCAGCACTATTTTCTATAGCTTTTATTATGAATTTCAATTTTTTTCAGACATACAAAAAACTTGAGAACGGCATGCTTCCAGTTCTCTATTGATTATTCCCATCCTTATCTGCTTTACCCTGTCTCTATTGTCCAGGACTAGAAATATGCCCAAAAAAGGGGAGAAAAACCTGATGCATTAAAGGACTTTGTTGCATATCTCTGCAAAAGAACCTGGAATGCATCAAAAAGGCAGTCTTGAGGGATAAGAACCTCTGATGTGGCTGTATACTACAGACAGCTTATATGGTTCATGTAAGATTAGAGAAGCCGTGAGGCAAAAACTAAATAAGTGTCAGAATTTGTTTTGTCCAAATCCATAGCTAAGATTCACCACAGCTCACTTTAGAAAGCAATGCTGGGATTCAGCTCCAGATTCATGCATTGTCATCATGGCTCATTGCTACTGTTTTTATTGTCAGTGGTGGGAAAACAGCTCTTCCAGGTGTGATTTACCTGATCTATGCTATGCTTTATGAATATGTGATGGGGGAGGAAATAAAGAATGAAAGAAACAAAATAAACAGAAACAACAACAAAAGAAACTATAGCACCAGATCATGTGAAGGGATGGAGTCATGCTGAAATAACTGAGCCAAGTGGCAAACTTACTACTGGGAATGTTTTGCTTGAAAGATTCTCTTCTCACTAATACATTTGAAAAGTTGTCCAGAGTATTGAGAAATTGGAGGAAGGCAAAACTGTTGGTAGTTCGGTGAATTATGAAACCACCACCCACAGGAAATATGAGTTGCATTTTATATTTATTCTGAGAATGGACTATTTTGTGATACTGTGGCTGGTTCTCAGTATGCTAGATGAATTCCTGTCTGGGTTTTCACAGTACAGGATGCCCATTAAAATAGCATTTATAGTTCAATTAAGAAAAAAAGTGCCTCTATTAATTTTTAAACTACTTTCCACCACCCCCTACCCCTTCCAACAAGATTTTTGAAAAAGCTGCTTTACTGCAAGAATAGTTAAACTTTAGCTGTGAAAAAGAACTGAACTGCAGTTCATCTGGGAAAAGCAATATGTAAAATAAAATACTGTAGCAATGAATATGTCACATTCCTTATTAAGGTGGCTGGAATTGGCAGTGCTTCTCCAGGTCAGATTTTGCCAAGAGAGGGTCTTTTTAGAGGGGTTTGATCCACTTCCATTCTGCTTCCCTGTGCCACACTTTGCTTATTTCAGGCAAGTACATTTGCTTATGGCTTCTGAATATTCAGCAACAGTTGCTGGATGTTCATCCTATGTTCTGCAGGACCTTTGCTACTGGTTGCATGAAGATCCATGTGTAGACCAGGTCCAACACACCTTAAATGCAGCAGCCTCTCTGCATGCATGCTGGATGGTGCATATACCCATATTTCTGCAAAGATTTTCAGAGATGGATCTACAGGTATCCTAGGTGCCCTTTCCAGCATTATGTGATGAGAACAGGATGGTATGGTTATATATTCACCCTCTTCTTTAAATCAGGTTGCAACCACACCTATTGTTATGAATATCTACAGCAGTAAAATTTGATTGCACTGAACTTGAAAAACACACCTTACTTCTTTGTCCCGTGGCAGTAAACATGGGATTCATTATACCTTCCTTTGAGCAAGCTGGAAGTTAAACATCCAATCTAACCATGGCAAGTTCTGAAGTGAACTTTGCATTCATTTCAGTCCAACTAAACATTTCCAATTAATGTGAAACAGCATTTTCACAGTCTTAATTCATGACAAAAATAAAAATAAAAAAATATAATCTTTGTTTCATCTGAACCAGGTTTGTTTTGTTGTTACTTTCTTATTTTGCCTGGAAATCAAAGCATTAAGTTTTGAACCACTCTAACTACAGTATCTCTTAATACTGTATTCAGCCTTTGTTTACTAGTCATTTTCAAATGCGACCAGCTACCCTGCTTTGTAAGGCACTACTTAAAAAAAGTAAGGTTCCCTACTGCAGAAATATTCAGCTCAGGATCTAATCTTTCCTGTTTTCTCTTTTTGAAATGTCTTGTGTTGCAATCTTACTACCACAGGATCATTAGAAGTGACATTACCTCATTTCAGTTCCATTCATGTTCCTTGTTCCTGTAATAGCTTGGCTGCTACCAAATGTTGAGAATATTTCTTTATTCACATTGGCAGCAAGCTATATAAGGCAAAACCAATGTTGCGTGATGTATATGAGCCTTATTATTGCAGCAGATGGATATTCAAAATATTTTTACATATTCAATGGCTTGGGTTAGAGCAGAAGTTCCTTGTGTTTCTTCTGGAAGATGCCAGGAATTGTGCAGAATCATGAGTTCAGTGCCAGTTTGACAATTTCAGAAAGAAAACCTGCACATCACTGGATGGATTCAGTTCTAGCTTCAGCCTGCAGAGAGTTAGAGAGTTCATGGTATTTTTCTTCTGGTACACAGGATAACACTGCCTTGGGCTGGTGAGAACCACCTCACACCTCAGCTGAATTGTCATGTTCAGTTTCAGGTTATGCAGTTCAAGGGACTTGCGTACAAAGGAGAAAGAAAATTACATGATCAGAGAGTCAGTCACTGAATGATCTGAGTTTGCTCAACATTCAGAAGAGAAAACTGAAAGTTTCTTTGCACCTGTCTTTAAATATCAGTTTCCAAAGCTCAATCTTATGGAGACTTTGACTCTTTTTTTCCTTTTGCTGAGCAATTTATATCAAATTTTTCTCTCCTTGCAGCTTAATATCCTCAAAGTGCATTGACAAATGTGCCTCTTTGAGATTATCTGTCCTGAGTTACCTGTCCAAACCTCTTGCTGCCTTCCCCAAAAAAAAAAAAAAAATCTGCTCACTGGAGTTGGCATCAGCTGTGATCCTCCAGTGAGCCAAATACTCAATGAAATACTAAAACCAGTGAGGTTGCTCATACACTGGAGTATTTGGAGTCCCAATTTTCCACAGACTGTTTACTTTTCTCTTCTAGCTGCCCAGGAGATCCAATTGCCTTTCACAGGAAGCTTAGATTTCATTGATGTACTTAGGTCTACGCTGTGTTTTCAGATGAGCTCAGGATCTGCACAGGATCCCGTTCACTCCCTTCTCCATCTCTCCTTCATTTCTTTCTCCATCTTCTCCTCTGAGTAATCTGGTCCTAAAAAAATAAATTCCCATTAGATTGAATTCATTGTCATTCTTGCTTTTTACAGACAAAGTAATTCATTTAAGCTTATCCAGCAACAAGCTGTCTGCAATTCTCCCATATTTCAACTCCAACCTTGCCAGCATAGAAAGAACAGCACACACAGTCTGGTCACCAGAGCAGGAATGAAAATGGTTGATGAAGCAAATCCTAAATTATCCTGGGAAAACCAAGGCATGGTGCTGGGACCGAAACAGGATGTGCTGAGCAATCCTGCCAGGAGAGAAGAAATGCAAGATTGGCATGGTCTAATTTTGCAGGGTACTGAACATGTTTAGATCTCACTGAAAGCAACAGGAAAGTAGCTGTAGCTTGACATCTCATATGAATGAGCCTGCTACAATTCTCTGCTGACAAAAACTCAGCAAATCCCTGTCATCTTGATTCAGTATCTACATGCAATTTCCTGCTGGTGTCTCTTTTGAGACGTTATTCTGGAGCATGCATGCACTGTGATCAGTCTACTGACTCCAATTTTATGTTTATGAAAACTAGAACTGAACCAGAATAAAAAGGTCTTTATTAAATGGTAGCTGTTGATAAAACCTCCACAGGCTGCCAGGTTGCACTGGCAGAAAGAGCTTCATTGAAGTCAGTGGAGCATTTCCAAATGACTCCAGTTAAGCAGATGGTTCTGCTACTGGATCTCCTTTCAAAGATCATTTTGTTCTTGGGAAAAAAAAATGATCTTCCTGAAGGAAAACTCCAGAATGTGCAATACTTAGCTGCAGTCAAAGACAAGAGAGTATGTTACTTTGGACTTCTCAGGTTTGGTATGGATTTCTCTGGATTTTAATGTATTTTTGTCTTTGTTTTACCTGTATTTGAAACATTATTTAAAAGCCTTTGCTGTGCTTGCAACTTGGTTTAAATTCTGATGACCCTTGTCTAATTTGTCCTAGCCACAATGGGAAAATTACCTACTGGCCAGGTGTTCATTGACTACCCTGTGGTTTAGGCTTTGTATTAGTAAATCATCTATTTTAAGGTGTTTTTTAACTCAAAGTTTGCTTACATTTGCAGATCTGTGTGTTTTCAGCCTAAAAGAAACCATTCCATATACATGGAAGAACAAATGAATGAATCATTCTATGAATATTTTTAGGACAATCAGAAAAATGTATTATCAGTAAACTTCTTGAAATATATGAAAAGCAGTCCTTAGTGAACTATGCGTAGGGGGGAAGAAACACACACAGACAACGTTGCACTCTTCAGGTGAATGCCTTGTCAAGATGATCGTTTGCTGTTATGGTACAAGGAAAAGAGAAGCACAAGAAAGGGATAAATATTAGAAATTTGGTGTGTAATAATATAACCAAAGTTATATTATTAACAAGAATTAGGAGAAAATAGGTAATTTTGAATGTGTTCGAATCATTGCAACTGAACTAAAAATAACTGATTTTTTCCTTTAAAAAGAAGGTTAAAACACTGAATGGAATGACAATCGGAATAAATTTTCTTTATTATCCATGTCTTCTTGGTAGTCCATGACCGAAGTGGTCCCCTAACAAAAGGGCAATAGGACAGCAGGATTAATAGGGGAGCATCTAATGAAGTCTGGATGGAGCTTGCTAACCTCAGGCTTCGCAGAGTGTTTGGGTGCATGAAAAGAGAGCAAATCATTGAAGACATCCAGCAAACTCCAGCTGAGCCAGAGTCCTTGTTCTTGCACAGCCTGCCCTCACTGCTACTAGAAAGACTGGAAAACACTTCTGAGGTGAATTTCGCTCCATGCTTTCTTTCTACAGTTTATTTTTACAATTATCCTTCAATTAATGCAATTAGTGTAACAGAGGAGGAGTTGTTTAGATTTGAAATAACACAAGCCTTCCAGATGGTCTTTACTCACTAGTGAACATGACAGCGGAAGTTTCCCTTTCTGTGATGCCAAAATGATGAGATAAACATTTTCTTCTTTGACTTTCTGGATTTTTTGCCTCAAGGGTGTTGGCATACGTTTTAGAGTAGGTTTCCAACAGAAGGATTATGTTGCTGCAATCCCAATGTTTTGGGCTTTGGTGGGGCTGGGAGGCGCTAGGGATGAGGGGATGGAGGGGAGGGTGCTAATTAAAAAGATAAAACATGATACACAGCCTTCCCAAATGTGCCAAGACACTTTATGATCACAGTTGGTCAGAGTACATGCCTTATGAGCCCACAATGTGCTTGACATTGTGCAAGGCGTATCTGCCAGCAGAGAAACTGCTTATTACAGCTAACAGATCACAGTTCAGCTCCAGCAGTTGACCTCTACATTTCGGGCCAAAAGGACTGAAAGCAGCTACTCTAACAGGCTTGAATTTTCCATTAAAATATAATAATGCTGGGGAAGTTTTCCTTGGTGTTTGCGAATGGCAAAGTGCTTGGCACTCTGATGCATCTTTGAGAAAGAAGTTTGAAGCAAGTGTTGATCCAGTTGGGACTTAAAGCAGGGAGGATAATGCTCTTAAATCAAGCAGAAAGCAGGGCTAACAGCCATCATGGAGCAAGGAGTGGAGAGCAGGGATAAGACGACCTTGTATCCTCAGTCCTCATCACCTCCATCCCACCCTCCAAACTCTCCTCTGCCCCCTGACTGGCAGGTGTTGCACTCACCCACTCCTTAGCTCACACCCAAAACTGTTCATCCTCATACCAAAGGTAAAGGAAGGAGGATGTGGTTGTTTTTCCCAGGTTCCTCAGTAAATCTACACAATTTGAGACCCAAAGGGCTCTTGCAATGGTTGCTGTCCTCCTCCAAAGGGGGGCTGGAGCTAAGCCCTGTGCAAAGGGCTCATCCCTCCTGTGGGGCCCCACAGATATTGCAAAGGCTCCTGCCCCAAGGCTCAGTTGGTCAAGACAGAGTTCTTTCCAAATGAAAAGAAAATAGAAATGAGCTGTATTTTTAAAAGTTTTTAAGGAGATTGCCCCTACTCCCCTTAAATGGAGTTCCACTGAACTTTTGTTTTCTTCACCCTTGTCTGTACAATCAGAGTAGGAGCACGGAGGAAAGTATTTCAGTTCTGCACGATTAACCTCCATTTACAGAGAAGAAAAAAAAATCCCTGGGGCATTAGCCATTACCATATTCGTGGCAGGAGTTTGCTGACTGTTAACTGCTTCTTGCCTTTGGGACCTGTAGCTAATAACAGACCATCTATTCATTCATTTCTGATAAGGCAACTGGCTCTTTCTTTTCCATCCTGCTCAGCAGGGAAGAGGACGCTGTGGGCCATAAACTTCCTAGCATTTCAAAAGTACCCCGGGATTTGGAAACTGCTTGTCATAATATTGTAACAGCTTTGCAGCTAAGGCAGCCCGGGCAGTAGTCACAACACTGCAGATGCTGGCCAGACAGAAACACATGCTGATGATCATATCGGTCAAAAAACTACTTGTTATATCACCTGGAACAGCAACCTGCATATATGGTTCTTTGCCTCTGGGCTAAGACAAGTTACAATATGACAGCAAGGAGCTGGAAAGCAAACGAAAAAATAGTAATAATAAAATTAAAAACAAACAAATAAATAAATAAATGCCAGTGCTGGTGGAAAGAACAAGTTTAAGAAAAGCTTGCAGGTTATTATGGCAGTGCACTGATTATTCTACAAGCTTGCTATGCAGTTCCCAGGACAGCAGTGGGAGCGATTCTCAGTGAATGCAATCAGAAATCATACTCCTAAACATCTTGTACAACCCTGTCCTTCAACTCATCTCAATAGAATTTGCCATTTAATGTCAGACACAAAACCTGTCTCACAGACCCACAATCACAGACTGACAAGTTGAGGTGAATTTCATGCTGATGCTACTGGTGGTAGCAACCATTGAGGCATGTCTTCTCAGCTCCCTTGGATGACAGAGGATGAAAATAATTTTAGTACATGCAATTATAACGTGGCAGTTGGACATGAAAATCTTTGTAGGTCACTTCATACTGAAGTCTTCTCGTGTCGTGTCGTGTCGTCTCTTCTCTTCTCGTCTCTTCTCTTCTCTTCTCTTCTCTTCTCTTCTCTTCTCTTCTCTTCTCTTCTCTTCTCTTCTCTTCTCTTCTCTTCTCTTCTCTTCTCTTCTCTTCTCTTCTCTTCTCTTCTCTTCTCTTCTCTTCTCTTCTCTTCTCTTCTCTTCTTCTCTTCTCTTCAACTTCTATTGAGTTGCAGTCCCAGATGAGTACAGACTGGGAGAAGAACTCATTCAGAGCAGCCCTGCAGAGAAGAACTTGGGGGTTCTGGTGGATGAAAGGCCAACTGCATCCTGGGCTGCATCAACATAGGAGCGACCAGCAGGTGGAGAAAGGTGATTGCCCACCTCTGCTCTACTTTCATGAGGCCCCTCCTGGAGTGCTGTGTCCAGGTCTGGAGCACCCAGCACAAGAAAGATGTGGACCTGTTAAAGCGGGTCCAGAAGAGGGCCAAAAAGATGCTCAGAGGGCTGGAGCAGCTCTCTTGTAAAGAGAGGCTGAGAGAGCTGCGGTTGTTCAGCCTGGAAAAGAGAAGGCTCTGGGGTGACCTCATTGTAGCTTTTCAATACTTGAAGAGGGCTTATAAAAAAGATGGAGAAGGGCTCCTTACTCAGGTAGGTAATACTAGGACAAGGTGGAATGGTCTTAAAATAAAAAAGGATAGATTTAGATTAGGCATTAGGAGGAAATTCTTCACTGTAAGGGTAGTTAGGCACTGGAAGAGGTTGCCTAGAGAAGTTGTGAATGCCCTGTCCCTGGAGGTTGGATGGGGCTTTGGACAACCTGATCTAGTGGGTGGCACCCCTGCCTGTGGTAGAAGGGTTGGAACAAGATGATCTTTAAGATCCCTTCCAACCCATGCCATTCTATGATTCTATTCTATGATTCGGTGATGCTATGAATTTGGCACATGGAAAAAGCATAGACACAACCAAACTCAATTCAGTTGATCTATGGTAAAGAACCATTTGAAGTTCAAGTGACCATGTATCTAATGGTTCAG